GGCGATATAGCCTCTCCAATTTTCTGACGTCCTGTTTTAAAGTGTGGAGTTGAACACTGTACCAGGGCGACGATGATCTAATCCTAATGGTTTTCTGTTTTAAAGGAGCTGCTGCATTTAATGCAGATTTTAAAGACTCCATAGTGTTGCCCACCGTTTGGTCAATGACTGAGGGACTGCAGCTGCTGTGAACAGGTTCACCTGCAGCAGTATTCAACATAGGCTGTATTAGTTCTTTGAACCTTGTGATAGATTTATCTTTAAGGTTCTTTTCATTATGGTTTTATCTTGCGGGACAGGAAAGTCCTCCAAAGCGAGATCAAACGTGATCAAGAAATGGTCAGACAGCAACGAGCTTTGACGCTGGATGTCAACATTGGAGACATCACAGCCGTAGGTCAGGACAAGGTCCAAGGTGTGGTTATGAATGTGAGTAGGTTCCTCAACATTCTGAGTAAAACCAACACCATCTAGTACGGCGCTGAAAGCTTTGTTTAAGCTGTCAGTGCTGTCGTCCACATGTATATTGAAGTCTCCAGCTATAACTATGTTTTCCCATTCCAAAACTAGGTTTGAAATGAAGTCAGAGAATTCTGTTAGGAACTCGCTGTAAGGACCAGGAGGTCGGTATAAAACTATAAATAGCACCGCTTTTTGTTTTCTCCACCCAGGACAGGTGATTGAAAGTGTTAAGTTTTCAAACGAGTGAAAAGCGTTGTTGGTTTTGGGACTAAGAACTAAAGTTGGTGTGTGATATAATCGCAACACCACCGCCGCGACCTGTAGCTCTGGCTTTCTGGTAGTTAACATGCGTCGGAGGAGTGCACTCATTCAATCTAACGTAGTCGTCCTGTTGGAGCCAAGTCTCCGAGAGCGCAAACAGATCCAAGCCCTTGTCTATAATAAGTTCGTTTATGAGAAGCGATTTAGACGAGATTGATCTGACGTTCATTAAACCACATTTAACAACCCTACCGCTAGAACTATTTCTGTCTGTCTGAACTTTTATTAAGTTACTGTGTCTGACACCTAGGTCAGATTTCCTCGCATATAGTGCTTTAGACTTCAAGCGGGGAACACACACAGTTTCAATCTGACTAGGTTCTGAGGCTAGTAACTGAGCACACACAGGCACACACACACATGCACACACAGTTTCAATCTGACTAGCTTCTGAGGCTAGTAACTGAACAGATGGGGGCTCAGAGGTTGTGGCAGAGCAGCTCTGCACCCGGGCCTCAGTTCTGCATCGTCATTTGAGCCGAGCAGAACAGTTTAGAGCCAGGGCCAAATTCTTAGCCAAAAGGGATGTACCCGCCAACGTTGGGTGGATATCATCCGAGCGGATGAGACCGGGCTTTCCCCAAAAGGCACTCCAATTGTCAACATGAACAACACCACTTCGAGGGCACCAGCCAGACAGCCAGCGGTTGAAAGCCGAGTGTCTGCTGAATGCTTCTGCACTGCTAGTGCTAGGTAGGGGCCCAGAGAAGATGACAGTGTCGGCCATTGTGCTAGCCAGCTTGCACACGGCGGCGACTTGCAGCTTCAACACCTCGGACTGTTTCCGCCGAACGTCATTACCACCCGCGTGAATAACAATTCGACGGAAACGCTGCTTGTGGGTCATCATGAGCCTCAGATTCCCTTCAATATCACCAAGCCTGGCCCCAGGGAAGCACCGAACAGTGGCTCCTGGGATCTTAACACCTCTAACAATAGAGGAGCCAATTACCAGCGCATCAGCGACTCCATCGGCTCTCTCAGCAGCTCTCTCAGCGGCTCTCTCAGTGGGGCCTTCTTCCCCGCCCGGCCGCGCGGGGGCGCAGCCGGACAGAGCGTCCCAGCGATTGTAAATGCTAACAGGAGGAGGCCCAATGGGGAAACTACCAACAACACGTCGCCCTCTCCGAACAGTCACAAAGCCATCACTATCCTGGTCTTGTCCCAGCTGCGGAGGACGGGCTGGGAGGCTAGGCTCGCTAGTTCTCCTCTGCCTTTCCCTAAAGCTGCGCTCCGCTGTCCCTGAGGATACGGCCTGGCTGTAGCTAATGCTAGCGCTAGCTCGAGACTCCAGTGCTCGGAGACGCAGCTCTAACTCACTGACCCTGGATTCCAGAGCTACGACTACACTACACTTCACACATCTATCGCTACCCTCAGAGAAGGATCCAGGGTTTAGACTCGCCATATGGCAACTCGAGCAGTAAAGGATTGAGGGAGAGACAGCAGCCGCCATAGTAGCGAGTTAGCGGCTAGGCTAGGCTAAGCTAGGCTAAGCTAGTACGGATCCGGGCCCGCACAACAGACTCCGAGACCAGACAAACAACCGCTACCTAAACCTCAGCTACAGTACAGCTGACTCGGAGTGCTTACACAGTTAGCTTGGTGTACAATACGTGGATTTGTAATGTGTTTGTTAGTGCAAACAGAGAGCAGAGTGATAGCAGTCAAGAAACACGCTCACCGGATACAGGAAGTCACGTCACCACTAGATAGACTCTACATGTTTTATTGTCGATGGTAGAGACAGCACGAACAACAGAATGCAAGTGTATTATACAGAGCGGAGGCATGGAGACCTCCAATCAGCAGCTTCCACGGTGTGCTTGTAGCTTGGCCTTCAGATAGACAAAACAAGGGAAAAGTACTGGCTTCTGCACATTGATAGAATGATGAGTTTAACTTTAACAAAAGTTCAGGTGTCCAGTAGTAGCAAAAAGAAAAAAGAAAACATAGTAACAATAGTTAGAGCTGTAGTACCTAACTTTGAAACCACAAAAAAATAATCGTGCGATGATGATCCTCGCTCTCACAACTGTTTGATTCTATTACTCGTTTTCAGATGACTGTATTTTTGGTCTCTGATACGTTCATAGATCAGTTTAATCTGTTGAAAAGAGGACCAACCTCAATCCGACAATCAGCTCTAAGTTTGTAAAAGATTAAATGTACTCAACTGAGAAATAAACAGCACATTGTGGTCTGGTTCAATAGTCAGCCATATACTGTGTGTGACCTATTGTGAGGTCTTGTTTTACATAAATTAGACATTGAGAAATCTTCTTTGCATCTCCATATAAAACAGTATTGGTCTAATACTTTGAGGAAATGTCAGTGCTATAAGCAGGCTTAAGAACAGTGCACTGTAGGTTAATAGTAGTGACTGACGTTAGTCTTTGGGCCAATTATGAGACTGCATAGCACACATTACTAAAACATTATAACGTAGTATTTCAATCAATAACATAAAATAATAATAATACTAATTAGGGGCGACAGTAGCTCAGTTGGTAGAGCATTGGCCTTTGGGCCAGTTCGATTCCCACCATGGGACCTACTCCAACTGCTCCCACTGATGACTGTTGTCGTTGTGTCCTTGGGCAAGACACTTAACCCCACATTGCCTGAAGCCCCCCGCTGAAAGATCAAGGCGGTTTCTCAACTGATGGAGCAGCCATCTTCCTGTGGACTCACCCCCTGCAGAAGATCAGCGAGGGACTGGTGCTATACATAGTTCCCACATGACGTCACTACATACGGGGATTTGCCGACCCGGCGCCATTTGTGTTGGCATTCTGTGGGCAAAACAATAGAAAAAGAAGCTGAAACGTGTTAATGTCGTGATAAAGTTGAAAATGGTCATCTCCTGCTGGGTCAATGGATGTTCAAATCGTGACGGAGGTTCCGTTAAACTTGGATTTTACAGTATACCCATCATTAGACTTCATGAATGTGAGAAGACTAAGCTTTTGTCAGAACAACCACGGAGGTTATGGCTTGCGAAGATAAACAGGCAAGAAACTCCCTCAAAACACGCAAGAATATGCTCGGAGCACTTTGTGTCAGGTGCGTATCGTATCTTATAATGTGTTGACAGACGTAATTTACTCAGTACTAACTTGTGTATGCTGATATCTGGTAACTTGAGTTTCATTATTTAGCGTTAGATTACTTTATTATGAGGAGGATCGGTGTCGCGTCCGAGGCTCTCGAGGGCAACGTAAATGTATTAAATAGATAATAATAGTTCTATGGTGGGCTAAAACAATGTTCACAAACAGCATTGCTTCTGTAAAAAGATCTGTGTCATAAAATAAACTGCTCTTTACGCCTGGAAAAATCAGTTGCCCACCATTCACCAAAACATACGGTCAAAAACGCGGAAATAAACAATAACTGCAATCCAGAGTGTCCGTGTGGCATTAGCATTAATTAAATTAATTGTTAATATAATTAAAATAATTAAATGGAGCTCCAACTGGTATTAAATCTAAAGTTTTTGAGAAATGTTTGCATTGCTTGTTAATTTTTGCTGCATAATTTGATCAAATATGTAAAACATGTCCGTAGCACATTAAATTGTGGTGCCATTGTATTAATATACAATTATTTGCTCAAAAGTTGCCCTTTTTTTCCAATTTGCGTTTGAATATCTACATTTATTCTCATTCTTCTGTTTAATGGAATGCACAAACACAGCAGCGTGCCATCAAAGATGGCGTCTCCGAGGAGGTCATGTGACATTCATTGGTCTGTGGGAACTATGTATAAGCATTGGGTGGCAGCTCTCATTGCCACCCCCCTGACCCAGAAATGGACAAATAAAGGGGTTGAAAATGAAATGAAAAAAAATGAAATGAAACATAAAATAAATAATGATAATAATGTCATGTAATATATATTGGCTGTGTGAAGGTGGTCCTTTCTTTTGTACTTTTCTGTCTGTGCTGATCCAAAACACCTGTACATAAAACTAGTGATCGCAAAGACTATATCGACTGCATATCAAACTTTCTCCAGCAGGTGGCACGATTGCTCTTTCTATAATATGAGTACAATATGAGCGCTGGAAAAACGAAAGTGAAAATGAAAGTTAAGTGTTGGGGACGTCATTGAACGCCATTTTAGTCTACTGTAGCTATATTAGCCTGCATATTACTGCGGACGGACGTGAAAGACATGGGAAGAGTTTGCTGGAGTGCGAACACAACAACAACATGCTTGTGTTAGTGTGTGTGACGCTCTGTCTGCTCTCTGCTGCAGCCGCGGTGTTCCCAGGTCAGACACTTTTTAATCTGTGTAGTCACATGTTGAAATTCTGTCTCTGGGGTTAGTTAACTTTTTTTCATTTTTTTTGAGGGTCACACTATTGGATTAAAAGCATTACTATATGCCATGGATCTTCAATAATATCAATATGGCGTGCACATTTCCGTGTACAGTAAATACAATGTATAAATTGACTTATTCGTGACATTAGAAGTTTACCGCAAGATAAAGGAGAAGGGGATGGATTAGAGGTAACAGGCCTCTACTCTCACTGTGTAAACGCAATATTCTTCCAGTTTGGTTACTACTTTGGCCTTTAGTGACCAACATGTTTTATTTCTAGACATATATTCTGTATTATACTAATACACGTTCTGGCTCGGGTGGACAGGAGCCTTGTACCTATGATCCGATCTTTACATAGGCTCACATTTGCTCAATAATGTTCCTTTTCCCTATTCATCCATATCGATCCTTTTTGTCGACTTATAACTGATTTGTAGCCTACAGTGTAATGTGAGGCTCAATATCTCTCTGCTGGGAGACCTGAGATGGGGGAATAGGGGCTAATATCAGGGGGAGATCATGTTTATGTCTTAAGGTTCACTGATTAAAGGTCATTGTTTTGTATTTTCTTAAAACTAAAGAATATATTGTGTTATTAATAGTGTTGTCTAATATAATATAATATCTGATAGTTGTTTTAATAAGCTGCTTGTTAGTTTGTGTATTATGTGATTTATCTTATTAAACAGGTATTCTTCCTGTCTGTTTTAGTTGAGTAGTTGAGTTGTAGTTGATATGTTGATATACACAGTGCTAAGTAAGGTTTCTTTTATTGGAAAGAAACGCAGGATAAGAGTTTTTGTAGCATTCAGGGCTTGGTTTGGCCAGGGGTTGGCACAGGGCGGGGGAGGCCCAGGGCTGGGCCTAAGGGTTCTCCACCTGAATTTAATCTGTTTATTACGATGAGTCAAGAATTATGCAGTTATCACTGTAATGTCAGGGCAGAAGAGCGGTCTATGCAAGGGTCGACTTGAAGAAGAGAGTCCAAATGTCACACCTAGAGCATGGTTCAGCTCTGTGTGAAATCCATCCATCCATCTATCCATTTATTTTAATCCATTTCTGGGTCGGGGGGTGGCAGTCAGAGCTGCACCCAGAACACGGAGCACCAGCCCCTCTCTGTCTTGCATATTCTGACATTTAACCTCATTGCAGGTTACAGAGATGTTAGGCAGCTCTCTGAGAGGACTCTTAGAATCTTTAGGCATACGTTCCTAGAACTATCGCCCAGTCTATATTCACAGTCTGACAGCTTGGACCAGGTGGTCAAACGTTTTATTCCATAACACATCCAAACCTCCAGGAATTCTACAGTCAGCTGTAGCTCCATAGAAGTCTTCATGTATGGAGTTGAACTTAATCAAGTCCTGCTTCGATAGGAAAGTCTCCTGTATACATAATGTCACAGGTTTCAAGAAGCTTGTTTACCACAGGGGGGGCGAGTTTTATCGGCATCACAGAGCCCAACGCGTAATCCTCGTCACAATGTTAATATTCATGAAATTGTTTTTTTATCAAAAAATGAAATGAATTGTTTTTTTATCAAAAAACAATTTAGTTTTTAAACAGAATCTTAAGACCTGAGCCTTAGGCCACAGCTAGTTGTTAAGGGTGAGTTCAGAACCCCAAAGCAGAGTGAGGCCAAAGCAGTTAACAGTCTTTAATTAAACAAAAATACTCCAAAAAGAAAGGAGCAGTGGAGACAGGTGTGTCTCGGCAGCAGCCCAGTAGAGACCGGTCATGCCCCCTGTCTCACACATGCTTTGGAAAGAAAACAGAATGGGAGGGAGACATCAAAATGAACAGAACCATGACACTAGCACTTTTATTTTTTGGCGATTTGGGTTTGCTTGGTCAAATGCCCTAAAAGCTATTGAGGAAAAACCCACAGTTTATGAGTAAAACACATGTAAAAATACAGTAGAAATGTCTAATGGTGCTTTTAGCCAGATTTCAGGCCTGAGCCCCATAGGACACAGGTAATACTAATTTTGTAATATGGTTTGGGATAAGTGGGTCAAATTCCCTAAAAGCTATTGAGGAAAAACTGTCTTTGAGTAAATAGACATTTTACTCTAAAAGATGGCAAGGCAAGTTTATTTATATAGCACAATTCATACACAGGGCAATTCAAAGTGCTGAACAAAATAAGAAAGCATTAAAATCATAAATAATCACAGAACATTAAAAAGAAAGATAAAAATATAAAATCCCTCAGCTGTATGCACAGCTAAACAGAACTGTCTTTAACCTGGTTTTAAACATTGTCAGAGAGGAGGCCTGTCTCACATCTTCAGGAAGACTGTTCCAGATTTTAGCAGCATGAATCTGAAAAGCAGCCTCCCCATGTTTAGTTCTGACTCTGGACACTAACAGGAGTCCAGTCCCTGTGCTCCTCACAGTCCGGGCTGGTTCATATGGGACTAACATGTCACTAATATATTTTGGTGCGAGGCCATGGAGAGACTTGTACACAAGCAGAGCTGTTTTAAAGTCTATTCTTTGAGCCACAGGAAGCCAGTGCAGAGACCTGAGAACTGGACTAATGTGGTCGTACTTCCTGGTTCTAGTCAGGACTCGAGCTGCTGCATTTTGAATGTACTGCAGCTGTTTTACAGCCTGTTTGGACAGACCTGTGAGCAGGCCATTGCAGTAGTCTAACCTACTGGAGACAAATGCATGGATAAGAATCTCCAAGTCTGCTTTAGACACTATGTTTTTGATCCTGGCAATGTTTTTTAGATGGTAATAATCTAAGTTAAAACGGGTGTAGGAGCCATAAATTGAATATAACAGTGGGCTGTGATTTGATTGGGTGATGTGCCGGGTGTGGGTCACGTGGTTACTGGAGCGGTGTCTACTTAGTTCTCACCTCTGTTTTATGAATGAAATCAGTAGTAGAGAGGGGGGCTGGGTCGCCGTAGTTTTTGTTGACCGTTCGTTTGTGTTTGTTTCTTTTGTACCTTCGTTTTTCTCACTGTTTTGTTCAATATCATTCAGTTCATAATATACGTTATGTTATCACCTCATCCGTGTTTCTTTTCATTAAAACGCCATCAAACTTAATTCCTGACAAAGTGTGCTCTGTGACAGCCAAGCAGCGCGTCATACAATAAGACGAACCCGGTTTCTCCTCTCCAGCGGCAATAGGCACTAGAGTCGCTACAACGGGTAAACTACAATTAAATGGCTTTTGCCCATAACCAATATCTTCCATGTTCATGTTTTTGATGTATTTATTAATTGATTGTATTATTTAGCCATCATGCTCTTTTTGTATCCACTTACATTATAGCGAAAAATTAGATAAACGTAACATTTTGACGGTCCCTAAATACAGGCGATGACTCGTGACTGCCCCATCCCTTCCCCACTCTGAATATCTGCCAAATATCCAATACCCTACCAACTTCACAATGACTTAAATAAACTACACAAAGGATGGATGTTGCATGTTTTAGGTCTGCAAAAATCATCTTGATGCTTTCTTTATGGCAGATGTTGAAGTGACCTGCATTTCAGTGGAAAGCTGTGTTTTGCCATGCCAGAGACAACAAGCACTTTCTATGATAATCTGGTATAGAAATCAGACCCCTTTGGCCTGGCTCCCTGATGTTCAAAACATCAAAAAGCCCAATAACAGGACCAGTCTCTTGCACCAAGAGCTGCACGATGGAATCTGCTCACTGTTGATCAAGAAAGTGATGCCTCAAGACTCTGGCATTTATAAATGTGACACGGTCAACAAAGGACTCGTCAAAACATCGCAGTATTACAATCTACGTGTGAACGGTAAGACATGTGTGATTATTTGGCTTTTTCAGGGCATCCATCTCATATTTATGGAGCCATTATTTTCTCATTGCAGTGCCAGTGAAGGAGGTGGTCATAGAAGAGTCTGGGGACTATCTAATATGCAGCTCAGAGAATATTTACCCCAGGCCACAGTGTCAGTGGACCAGTGCTGTGTTAAACTCCACCGTTGCTCAGGGCAACCAGGGCGTTTTGTTTACAACCCGCTGCATCACTGAACGGATGCACAACGCCTCGAACCAGAGCTGCACAGTCAGCAGTCGCCTCTCCTCACACACAAACACCTACATTCAGCGACGTAAGTACACTGTCAATTCTGCTGAATTCAATGCCATTATTTTGTTGGGTCGTTGTCAACTCACCCATAACAGATTAGAGAATCCAGTTTGAACACAGGAATTGCAATAATTACAAACACAGAGGGTCCATTGGTCCATAAGGAGTGGGATGAGTGTGGATAAATGTCTGTAAATGTTCTTTAATGTTTTTCAGTGTCCCAGATCCTCCAAAACCCAGTTGGGAAATAATAGAGAAACACATTTAGAGAGGGATCTGGTCCCATGGACAGACGTACTGAAGATCCAGGACTGAGGCTGTAGATCCAGGACCAGGACTGAGGTTGTAGATCCAGGACCAGGACTGAGGCTGTAGATCCAGGACCAGGACTGAGGTTGTAGATCCAGGACCAGGACTGAGGCTGTAGATCCAGGACCAGGACTGAGGCTGTAGATCCAGGACCAGGACTGAGGCTGTAGATCCAGGACCAGGACTGAGGCTGTAGATCCAGTACCAGGACTGAGGCTGTAGATCCAGGACTGAGGTTGTAGATCCAGGCTACAGTCGTAAAAAAATTAGCATTGCTGAAATTGTGTTGCTTTGAAGAGGAAATGTGATGCATTCGTTTCGACCATTATGATGATCATGATGATAAACACCCTCCCCGACCACCAGAGGGAATGGTTGAATTTGTTATGGTTTTTTTCCCAAATTTGAACATTTCTGGCTGCAAACGTGTCACATGATCCTAAGTCTTGTTTTAAAAAGAAGACCCAATACATAGTGATGCAATGACGTCATATCATTAAAGGACTGAGTAGCTCTTAGACAGAAGATAGACGTTTCTGATAATAGCAGGGGTGGATCCAGATAGGAATAATGTTGTAACATAGTTAATAGTAAAAAAAAAAAAAAAGCAATTTAGCAACCTATGTCCCCTCTAAAGCTGTTTTCCCTTCTTTATTTGGTGTGTGTGATGTGTCCAGCTGCGATCAGCGTCTCTGGGACTGAGGCTGTGCTCCTCTGTGCTCACACCACCTCTCCTGTGAAGACTGAGTCCTGGAGGTTCAACCACAATGAGACCATCGTGAGCCTGTCTGGAGAGGTGTCTGAGGGGTGGAGGCCGTTTGTGAAGAGCATCTCTGACAGCAGAAGCCTGACGCTGAACAATCTGACCTCACATCAGCAGGGGCGGTTTACCTGTGTGACCCGCACTGACACAGAGAGCTACACTGTGGTCACACAGCTGCAGATCAGAGGTCAGACATCTTTCACTAAAGGACGTCAGAGCATGTCTCTGGCCTGATGCAACTTTAATCTAATGTAGTGAATTTATGGACACTTAAATACAGTTTACAGTTACACACACAGAGTGTTGTCGTGATAACATTACAATCACCAGCGTGATGATAAAGTAAAATATAAACATCTGTAAGTACATCAGGATGTTGCTGACTTCACTGGTGACTTATCCTTGAACCAAGTGCAGTTGTTGATCCAGGGTTTTATTCTATTTCTATTTTATTTTATTCTCTATGATGTTAAATAATTGATCCTGTTTGATGTGTGCAACCCAATCCTCCTATTTTCATTAACATTGACATTGACATTCCCCCATCTGAACTGTATTTTTTCAACTGAAAAAATATATATATATATATTTTATTTTTATTTTTATTTATTTTTTGTGACTATTGATTCTTTCTAACAAATTTGGATCTAGTATTGCCACTACATTTTCATGTAATACAACACACAGCTTCAGTTAACAATTAAGTAGTTCGGTACTACAAGATGATTTTTATATGAAACAACTAAATAATAATAAATAAAAACATAAAAACAAACAAAAATAAACTGGGCCATCAAATAAGCTTCTTTTCAAATTAGAGAGTAATCATATCCACCAGTGTAAATAACTGTTGTCTTTTTTAAAGAATCTGTCAGGTCGGCAAAGCAGTTTGATATAAGTAAATCTTTCTAAAGGTAGGCTACGAGACATCTGCTTTAACCTCTGGATAAATTAAATCACATTGTATGAATTTTTTGACATGCTCTTTCCCACAAGGATTCACTAATATTGACCGATAGCTCCTCTTTCAGGAAACCAATTTCTTGATTATAACCTGATGGATTCTTGACAAAAGATTGTTATTTGATGCTACTTTTAGTATTGATTGATTATCTGAATATCAATACTTTGAACTTTACAACTCCTCCTTTACCTCCACACACAGTTGTGATAAACTACTGTAGCCACAGCTGCCCTGAGACAGATCAGACAGATCAGACAGATGGCCTGTCAGTTAGATTTACTCACACACACTCCATACTCGTCATGAGGCGGTGTGTCCTTAGGCAAGACTCCACAACATAAAGCTTTACCATCACTGTTTTTCAGGAGCTCCAGGTGCTCCAGGTCTGTCTGTTTTCAGCGTGATCAGTATTGTATTCACTGCAGTCCTGACTATCTTTGCATCAGGAGCTTATCGACGTAGCCAGGTTAAATTATACTCTCTACATGATGAAGACATTGTGGACAAGATATTTGGTTTGCAAAATGTTAATGACTTATTGTTTCTTATTTTCAGTGTTCTTCCGCTAACCATCTTCCTCAAAGGTAAGCACTTGACAATACAATGTGTAGAAAAATATGTGAGTTGGTATGGGATAAACACGGACAAATGTGGGGGTTTATTTCCTTCTGAGTTTGTGACATTGTTTGTGACATCACCACCACGCCTAAATACATTATATATTGCAGTGTGATGGTGCATTTAAATATATACTTTTATTTTATAAAATACATGACTTAATGTTAAAATGTTGTCTCATTCTGGAACACAAATTGTGAAAGTGCTCTTTTTCTCGTTGCGACTGTTAAAGATCCCATTTTTCACAGTTCTTTGTAATCATACAGTATGTGTGAAAATAAATTGGGTAATACAACGCTCAAAACTTGTCAATAATATTTATATAGACATTTCTTGTATATAGAGGTGACTGAAAGCTAACTGTTCAGCTCTCACCGGTACATTGTTATTTCACATCTGAGAATGAACTTTTTCCGACTATGTCCTCGATCCAGTATCAGACACTAATTATTTAGTTAACATGCAGTGAGTAAGTTGTACCTACAGAGTTCTTTTATTGTGGGAATAACACCAGGTTTGAAGATCAGCTTTTGAGTAAGTCCATTTTCATGGTATCTGTTCAGGAAGCAGTCTCCAAGTGTCACTCGCTGATGAACAGTTTTGTTGGATTTCTGAGGCAGATCCCAGTGAAAAAAGTCTAGCCACATATGCTTTGCCTTCGGGCCAAATAGTGTTACCACATATTTACACCCAAAAACACATTTTCTCCAAGTCACATGAGGCTGACAATAGCAGAAAAACAGTTTGACGTGAAGCAAACATAGGCCGTGATAGATGTGGGACCATATGCTGGACTCAAGAGAGAAGCTGGCTGTTCTGAGTTCACCCCTGTCAATCACCTCCTGGAAGAGGGTTTTTGCAGCTCGTGCTGCGTCCTTGATGTAAGGCTACGTCACAATGTGAATCGAGGCATTTTGCTGCCTCTGGAGAAAAAAAGATGGATCGCTCTCTAACTGAAGCTTTTAGGGAATCAATGAAAAACCTGCTCTGGACATGCGTTTGAAGGCCAAATAGAAATGTACTGATGTTTAAAGCAGAGAGAATGTAATATGGGACCTTTAACATGAATCACTCCAATTGGACTAATCTGAGCCTTCCTTGTCTCTCCCTCAGGGACTCTTCCCAAACAAAAGTGGACAGTTTCAATGCTGCGTGGATCATCTGCGGTCTTCTGGGTCTCAGCTCAGCTCTTCCCTGTTTTTTTGTGATCGCCAGTTTGTACTTCCAGCATCGCCTGAGCCAGAACTGGACCATGAATGTCCTAATTCTTGTCAATCAAGTGACTCTGATCCCTGAAGTGTGCAACTCTGTCTTTGTCCTCAGGTGCTCTGCCCAAAAGCACATCATGACATGCTTTGCCATGATCTCTGTGATGTTTGTGGTGGTGCTGATTGCCATGAAGGTGCCGATGGCTGAGGAGACGTTCTTCACGGTCAGCATGTGTGCCCATTGGTTGGTTTCATTGTTTAGTGGGATGATTCAGGGGAACCTAGAGGTGGAAGTGCTCTTACTGCCAGAAGCACACCAGCGTATGTTTTCTCGTGCTAAATTAAGGTCCAGGCTTGTAGCTTCAGCTGTTATGGTTTTGTTTCGGATACTTAAAGACACTGAATTGTCTTATTTCTGCCATTTCTTCTTTGCACTTTTCATTTCCTTGGCATCCATCATTGGTTACTGGGTCCTTCAAAAGCTTCCATTTGCAAAGTGTCATTTCTACAGACAGAGTCAAACTATTGAAATGCAAACCGCTAAAGAGCAAATGATAGGCCAAGATGAACCCCCTGATGCTACCTGGCTTGAGATTTTGTGTGAGGGGTATGTCGCATTAGTTCCAATCCTCACGTATTCTGTTTTTCCAGCAATTACAGCTAAAGTTCACACTGCTTATCCAGGAGAATGGGAGCGCTTCTTTATCCCTCTGTGCTGCTTTTCAGTTTTTTACTTTGCCTCCATGTTTGGTCCCAATTTGGCTAGTATTTCTTATGTACAAAAATATTTTTTTGGTGTGTTTCCCATCTTCATAGTCATCCATACAGTGTGTTTTGCTCTGTTTATATGTGGCCAATCAGTAACTTTTCCCTTGAAAGATCTGATATTCACAATCATTATATTTCTCTTCTCTCTTCTCAATAGTTTTTTGACAGAGCTTTCAATGTCCCATGAAACAAACGGCGAGAGGCATGCACACATCCACATTTCAAAGAAACTATGGAGGGCAATAGGTGGTATAATCGGTGCAGCACTTTCTTTTGCCATTCAGAGCACAATCTCGTTCCTGTCTCTTAATCATTGAAAATACATAGCACACTGTACATATTTTTTATATATTGCTATAACCAGTTACATTTCTGCCCACGTCCATTTTAATTCGTGCCTCGATATCTTCCTGTTCTTGATCTTAGGGCTTTCGGACTTGGAAGGAACAGTAAAAAAAAACACAACCAAGAGTTTACTGTATTGTCATAAATGTGCATTTTAAGTATTTTACTGACACAATGGTTTTGATAGAATATTTATATATTTCAACATATATTAGTGTTAATAATCATATATAAAATATGGAGTAAATGATACTGTGAGAAAGCAGACCTATGTAATGCAACGACAATTGAGTTTTATACGGTATGGTATTTTGTAAGAATGGCAGGAAAATCACTCACAAACTTGATCCCTAATTTAGTGCAATACTCCATCACAGGCTGCATTACAGATGGGGGAGAGCAGAGGGGGGTTGGTTTTGAGTCGCTGTTACTCAGGTGCTACAGCTAAGCTACTGCACCCATCATACTTAATCATGTACTGTGGAGAGTTTTTGTGGCTTTGATGGTTTCAAATACATGTATTGTTTTAAAAGGGAAACAAACTTGAATGTATTATTTAATATTAAATTGCGAAATGTCGTTTTGCATATATGACTATCTGTATGTGTGTGCCATTATGTGTTATTCCGTAGGAGAAATTCATGGGTCCAGTGGCAGTAGAAACACATCCACCCATACAAACAAAACAAATAAATAGATCAATCTACAATTAGCTAACAATAGTATTAAAATGCAACAGCACTTTAGGTCACAGCAGCAGAGGTGATGTAGCCACTTGGTTCGGACCATTTTCTCTGCTCTCGTCCAAACCATGGATCCATGGGTCCAAAAAGTTAGCATTACTCCAGTGGATTTTCACCTGATCCACTTCAGACCATGAATATTCTCCGCTCCGGTCTAGACCAGTGTAAAACCATGTCCACTGTACTGCAACATCTCAGGTACAAAAAAAGCAAGAGTAACAGTTGTAGAGTACGAAAAAAACTTAGGACTTTCTGCTGTTTACAGCACATTCAACAGTAAACCCAAAGTTTGATGTGCGCAACCTGTGTATTTTGTTTCATTGTTTTTTATACTCTGCTGTAATGAGCTCAATGTCCCACTGAGGGACGAATTAAGGTTCTTATCTCATGAGATAAACATCCTCAATAATAAATATATACTTTTAAAACACTCTTTGTATTTACACTTTTTTGTTTTGTGTGTTTAAGGAAATGTACAATATTCAATAATACAATCATTTTAAATCTGGTGAAGGAGTAAGCCTGCTTATGTTTTCCCCCTCCATAGTAAAGCTAATTATTTTTGGTTCATATGTTGTCGAAGCAGTTTATAGTTTCACTTATTTATTCCATTATTCATCTAGTTATTAGCTTTTCCACACAGCGTTATTGGCTCAAACATGAAAAGCTCTTGTTTGAGCCATTGTTTAAAAAAAAAAACCGCCCACTCCCCCAGAACATAACCTCGGCATCTTCCTGGACTCCATGTGACAAAAACATCACCCGTCTCTGCCCCTCTCTCCAACAAGGCACTTCTTTATGGCCTACCCTCAATATGCAATATATCCACAACTCCAACTGCCTGCTCACTCACACGCATTATGTTGTCCATAACACTTTTCAAGCTTTGGAACCCCCTGTCCTGCCTTCGTATTCAAACAAAACAATTAAAAAGTTAAGTCCTCAAGTGGATTTTAATACACCTGATTGTATGTAAGTAGTTGATTTCCTTTTGTAGTCACACTCAACCCTCACCTATTGCACATGTTTTTAGTGGTAGGGGAAACCAGAGCACCCGGAGGAAACCTACGCAGACACGGGGAAAATATGCAAACTCCACAGGTTGGAAACTGTAGCAAAGTCAAAAGATTTATGTAATACTAATATTTTAACCTTTCCATCTGTTAGATCATATAGATGCAGAGCGAGACTTGACGAACCTGTCCATCCGGCGGGATCAATGACAATCCACTCCAGTGTGAACTTATTGTCCTCGACCACATCTTCTTTCAAAAAAATCCTGATCTCTTTGGCATTGTACGTCAAAGAACTGCAAAGAAATATAAAAAAAATCAGAATCAGAATCAGAATAATTTTTATTGCCACGTAAGTAACAGGAAGTCACAGACTTGGAAATTTCTTTGGCTCAGTGCAACAGTCAAAAAGAGATAATAAAAAATAAAGAATAAAAAACCTTTCTAAGGAATACATTTAAATTTAAAATAGAGTTACAGTTACTATTTACAATATACAAGTGCACATGGTGCACACAATGTAAGGTGACAGTAGTACAGTGAAGTAAAGTGACGTATGATGGGCAGTAAAGTGACTTTATAAAGGGCGGGGGGACAGGTTAAGAAGTGTTCAAGAGTCCAACAGCAGAGGGGAAGAAACTGTTCTTGTGGCGGGAGGTTCTAGACCTGATGGACCGCAATCTCCTGTCTGAGGGGAGTGGTTGGAATAGTCCATGTGCAGGGTGAGAGGGGTCGGCTGTGATACGACCAGCTCGGCCTCGAGCTCGGGCGACGTACAGGTCCTGCAGCGATGGAAGGCTGCGGCCGATCACTTCCTCTGCAGAGCGCACAATGCGCTGTAGTCTCTGTTTGTCCCTGACTGTGGCTCCAGCGAACCACACGGTGACGGAGGAGGTGAGGATGGACTCGATGATGGCCGTGTAGAACTGCACCAACATCTGTGCAGGCAGCTTGGCTTTCCTGAGCTGCCGCAGGAAGTACATCCTCTGCTGGGCCGTCTTGATGAGGGAGCTGATGATCGGCTCCCACTTGAGGTCCTGGGTGATGGTGGTGCCCAGGAAACGATAGGACTCCACAGAGGTGATGGGAGAGTCCATTACGGAGGGTGGGGGCGGGGGGACAGTGCTCTTCCTGAAGTCCACAATCATCTCCACTGTCTTCTGGGCGTTCAGCTCCAGGTTGTTACCACTGCACCAGGACACCAGCCAGTCCACCTCCCTCCTGTAGGCGGACTCATCGTTGTTGGAGATGAGTCCAATGAGGGTGGTGTCGTCCGCGAACTTGATCAGCTTCACGGAGTCGGAGGTGCAGTGGTTGGTGTACAGGGAGAAGAGCAGAGGAGAAAGAACACAGCCCTGTGGGGCTCCTGTATTTATAATCCGAGAGTCCGAGACATTCTTCCCCAGACGCACTCGCTGCTTCCTGTTTGTCAGGAAGTCAGTGATCCACCTGCAGGTGGAATTGGGCACGTTGAGCTGGGAGAGCTTGTCCTGGAGCAGGGATGGCAGGATCGTGTTCAAGGCAGAGCTGAAGTACACGAACAGGACCCTGGCGTAGGTCCTCGGGGAGTCCATGTGCTGTACGATGTGGTGGAGGGCCAGGTTAATGGCGTCGTCTACAGATCTGTTGGCTCTGTAGGCGAACTGCAGGGGGTCCAGGAGGGGGGAGGTAAAGAACTTGAGATGGAAGAGGACCAGGCGTTCAAATAAATTCATGACGACGGACGTAAGTGCTACAGATCTGTAGTAATTGAGTCCTGTGATCCTGGGCTTCTTCGGGACGGGGACAATGATGGAGGATTTGAAGCAGGCCGGGACATGGCAGGACTGCAGAGAGGTGTTGAAAATGTCCGTGAACACAGGAGTAAGCTCACTGGCGCAGTGTCTCAGAGTGGCCGGAGACACGTGGTCCGGGCCAGGAGCTTTGCGGGGGTGCAGCCTCAAGATAACCTGGCAAGAGCCAGATTGATGATTGTGCACAGGCTGTTAGGTGCCTAAACAGAGGATTTTAATTCCTGCTTTTACCCCTTGTATCGTTTTGTTGATCGGTGCCACAGTGTCAGCTGTTTTTTATTCTTTTATATTCAGTGTATGTGTATTTTATATTACATTGTATCGTGCTTTTTATTCTGTCGGTGCACACAGAGTACCTTTTTTTGCAAATGTATTCCAATGTAGTTTTTATACTGCACATGGCTAATAAAATGAATCTGAATCTGAATCTGTGTAGAACTCTAATGCGTTCTCCACAATATTGATCTGGGACTTCTGCAGGAGAATCCTTTCGGGGAAAGGAGGGATAAGCAGCAGAATACTTCAAGCTGATTGGGCGAAGTGACGCTGTGTGCCCGCCTACCAAGGTTTGACTTAAACCAATCCCGGTAACATCTTTGCCGTCCAGAAATGCACAAAGCGCCTCTCGCTGTTCATCTTTCAAAAACGAAATTGGAGATTCTGCTAAAACTGACTTGATAGGCTCAGCTAGGCGTCCGTCCTCCTGCGTAGCCATGTTTGTTTTGCTTCGGCCCGGCACTTCTTGCTTTCGTCAAACCCGGATATCCCGCCCTAAACCCCCAGACTGGAGCGTGATTGGCTTGAACACCTAGATGTTCTACTCGAAAAGGGTTGGCGGGAGCGGGGCAAGATGTATTCTCGAGTGTTTGTGAACTCACAAATACCGCAAGAATTCAGCTTGCAGGCAAGGTTAGCCTCAAGAAGAGTTGTTTGATATCTTTAGAGGCTATTGTCAGGGTGGGGGCAGGGCTGATGGGTGGGTCGTTAGAGTAGTGGGGGGTGGGGGAGGTGTCAGGGGCAGCATCAAAGCGAATGAAAAAAAAGTTCAGTTCGTCAGCTAGCTTGTGGTCGTCAGCACGGGGGGGGGCTTTGGGCTTGTAGTTGGTGAGCTCCCGTAGGCCCCTCCAGACCGAGCAGTATCATTGTTACCCAACTGCTACTGTAGTCGTTCTCTGTGCCGGGACTTGGCTGCTTTCAGTTCTCTCCTGAACTGATATTTAGCTGCTTTGTAGCCGCTGCGGTCCCCCTCCCTGAAAGCAGACTCCTTTGCTTTCCTGAGCTGCCGGAGTTTAGCAGTGAACCAGGGTTTGTCGTTGTTATAGATGACCCTAGTCCTTGTTGGAATGATGCTATCCTCACAGAAGTGAATGTATGACGTCACAGTGTCCGTGTATTCATCCAAACTGTCTGTGGCAGCTCTGAAAAGGTCCCAGTCTGTAGATTCCATGCATGCGCGCAGCTCTTCCACAGCTTCATCAGACCACACTTTGGAGCTCCTCACTACAGGTTTCGAGAGCTTTAGTCTGTAATCAGGGATCAGATGTATCATGGAGTGATCTGAGAAGCCGAGGGCTGCCTTGGGAACAGCGCAAAAAGCACCGCGCACAGTGGTGTAACAGTGATCCAGAGTTTTCTCCTCTCTGGTCGGGCATTTGATAAACTGTCTGTATTTGGGTAATTCCTGGCTGTTAATGCTGGTTCAGCCAGGTTTGTCCTTAAACAGTCGCCAGATGAAAGAAAGGAAACTACAAAAGATAGATATAAAAGAAGGTTTAAATATATAACAATACATATGTGATGCGATCTGGGAAAACCCATCACATGGTGAAATTTGACCAATTTAAGATTCTGATACCATCTTAAAGCTGCTTTCAATCTCTTTTCAAATCCGTTTTCCTTTTTTTCATAGTAACAAAAGTTATCTGAGAAAAACAGGTTTAAAGTTAGACATGCTAAATAGAATCACCACAATCAAATATAACATGTTACATATGAATTACTCTGTTATGGCACACACTTATTTTAGTCACTATGTTGTAAAAGATAAAAAATGTTACTTTGGCACCAATTAAACACACAACACTCATGAATTAGATGGAAATCAAGAATGATTTCAAAATTCAATGAATTGAATTTGTTTTACAAAACTTTTCTAACTCTTCTTTTTTAGTTTCTTTCTCTTTATAAGTTACTGAACATTATATATGTATTAGACAAAGCCAGTATAATTCTATCCAATCACCCAGTATAAATATCCACAACCACCAAGCATTTTTAATGCAAGGAGAAAATTAGGTACCCGAGCTTTAATTTCGTGAGCGCATATGAGACACGGGGGAGACGTGGACTTGCAACAGGCTGGGGATTGTCTGAACGCGTGTCAATGGTTCTGTCCGCGTATGGTTCTGTCTATGGTCCTGTCAGAGTGTCTATGGTCCGCGTGTCTATGGTCCTGTCCAACTGTCTATGATCCGCGTGTCTCGCGTGTGATCCGCGTATGGTCCTGTTCGCGTGTCTATGGGTTCTGTCCGCGTGTGTTTATGGTCCTGTTTGCGTGTCTATGGTCCTGTTCACGTGTTTATGGTCCTGTCTATGGTCTTGTCCGTATGTCTATGGTCCGCGCTCGGAGCCCCGTTACAGCAGTGCTCTCACTGAGCTGTCAAAGCGGCTGTCACAAAGCGGCCGCAGCTGCTCCCGGGGTCAGAGCGGAGGATGTAACGTAAAGCCTAGCGTACATCGGACTGGCAACTGATTCTACGTCATGGTGCTACGTCCCTTAGGACTTCGCTAGTGGGATATCACTCGTGACCCCCAGGTCACACGCCAGAGAGATCAAAATAATTTGCTCCAATCACCAGCCACCTTCCTCTATAAATGCCCCTGCACAAGGCCGCACCCCCTGTTTCACTCTGGCGCCGATTGAGATCTACATTTCAATTACCTGGGGAAAGATGTCTTCTGATGCTCGTCCGAGTTCCCCTTCGCCATCCGGCGTCGGACGTCGTCGTTGCTCGACTTATCGGGTCAAGCTCCAGCGCAAGGACCAGCACTCCAGCTGCTTCCTGTGCCTGGGTTCGGGCCATGCGGCGTTGAGCGCCACCTGCGCCTCGTGTCTCGCTCTCCCCAGGGAGGAGAGTGAACGCAGGCGCGCGTTCTTCGCCGCTACAGCGCCCCGTCCGGACCCCTCTCAGGACGAGGAGTCTGCGATTGACTGGGCCCCCCTCGACCTTCCACCCGTGCCCGCGGAGTGGGGTGACTGCGAGGACGGAGAGGTGTCGGAGGTCGGCTCTCTCCTCACGCTGGACGGGTGGTGTCCAACCCGGAGCCGGACCGCTTCCCGCTGGACCACATGCCTGGGCTCTACGCCACGGCGGCGGCCATCATGGATGCCCCCCTGCCACCGCAACCGAACCAGAGGGTGGAGGACTTCACCTCTGGTTACGCCACCCCTCGAGGGAGGAGGAGAGCGCAGCCCACGTTGTGCCCGCGGATGGACCCGATCG